GCACTGGCATGTGCTGGAAGTCTCCACAACAGGTAGCAGGAAATTGTGGTAAATCCAAATTCTCTTCAATCCCTGTCGTGTGCCCTGGAAAGAGTGGTGAGATCTGAGGCACTCTCGTGTTGGGTGTCCCTCGAGGCACTGGGGTGTTTCTCTGGTTTGTCCAAAGTGAAGTCTGTCCTTGCCATCCAGCTGTGCAAAGGCTGGTTTTCCACACAGGTCAGTTTTGCCTGTTCCTGGTTTGCTTTGGATGTGTCAGGGCTGTTGTGTTCAGCTCCGAGTCAGGCTGACTTCAACAACAACTCAATTTTCCTTGGAACATCAGGACCTAGTCCCCAGCAGAGCTCAGGCCACAGGGGAACATGGGGATTTTATGCACACACACCCCCGTGGTGGGGGTTTTCTCCTGAAACCCTACAAGTCCTCACCCAAAAGGGGCTGGATCTGATGAGCTGCAGATCTTTCCCCATTACCTGATTGCTGTTTACTGAACTCAGCTGAAACAAAAATCCCCAAATTAACTGGAAACCCCCAGGCTAAACCACCCTGCCTCAGGTCCAGGGCTGTGCCTTTGCTGTCCTACTCCAGAGCTCTGTAAGATGTTTTGGGGTGTTGATTGATGGATGAGGGATTTGGAGCTCTAGGAGGGTGTCACCTGTGCTCATTCCCCAATGCCCTGGGAAGGAGAACAGGCATGAGGTGCTAGAAAATATTTAGATTGCAAGAAAAGCTTTAAGTACTCTCTAGGAGGAAATTCTTTCAAATAAAGGAACATCTCTGGGCTTTAGAAGTGCAAAATTGGAGAGATGTTTGCTCCTTGGAGAAAATTAGGAATATTTCCAGTTTGCCCCACCAGAGGTGCCACAGAGATGGGTCCCAGGGAATTTTCACAGCTGAGTTTTTGTGAGGACATCCCAAAACAGTTTGTGTTTGAGAGATGGAGGGGAACCCTAAACATGAAGAGGCCTCTGACAAAACACGAGCCTGTAAATGGAGACAGATTAATCCAGGCCCGATTCCTGGATTTTACAGACACCTTGATCCCTGGACCTCCACTGACTTCATGGGATAATCTGTGCCCTTGCTCAGCAGCTCTGGGATCGGCAGTCACAATTTAAGTTTGCGACTCTCCTAGATCTTTGATTATTGTTTCGGGTGATGGGGGAAAAAAAGTTTAAAAACAGTGGGAAAAAGAAGTTTAAACTCCATCTGCCGTGTCCTGTTCCGGCAGCTCCCGCGGAGAGAAGAACCGCGGGCAGCCTGGGGGAAAAAAGCTGCGGAAATGGGAAATGTCGGAGCGGGGATGGAAGGGGGGCCTGGCTCGGGGATCCGCTGAAGTTTCTCGGGGCGCGGTGGGGAGGAGGCGGCGGGGCCGCCCCTGGCCGGGGGA